CGCCTCACCGACACCCAAAAATCTCCAAATCAGCCCGGCAGCCGAAGCCCCACAAAAATAGAGAGGAGCAACCAAACTTACTAGGAAAGATAGTATTTAGCCACGACCGCCCAAGAGAGGGATGGAGCTGCAAATGACAGCCCCACTAGAGAGGAGGCACACCACACGTACTGATATAGAATATTATATTAGACCGGGTTTTAATGGATACAACGAATATGTATTGGAGGATAAGTCCACGTACGAACTAAGACATAGAGCATAACAATATGGGTCAAGCCCAACTTGAGCCTAAAAAAGTACACTCCCCCTATAAAAGGGGGCTAAGGTATCACTTTCTCTCATCCTCTATTCAATCCATACTACACTCTCTCTCTTGATCTGAGCATTGATTTAGGCATCGGAGGCCCGACGCCGGGGCCATCCCCGGCGTTGGGTTCTGCAGGTACGGAGGCCGTTCTAGTTGAAGGAGTCGGGTGAATTTCATTACACCCATATTATTGGCGCCGTCTGTGGGACCTGTTCAAAAAGTCAAGAGGAGTTCTGACTGAAAAAATTTGAAAACCTCCTTCTTCTCTACCAGCCGCCGCCACCGCCGTCGCCGTCTGCCGGAAAACATGCTCCGATCAGAAAATCGTTTACGTCATTGGATAGATCTCCTCGAGGCGAATCTCCCCTTTCATGCAAAAATTCCTTCGAGAAGACCTTCAATTCCGCGGTCAAAGTTTCCAAATCTAGTATGAAATCGATCAATAGGGCATTCAAATGCATTTTTCTGACGATCCGGGAGGGCTATGGAAAATCCTAGGGTACCACCGGAATCCTCTCAACGAGATGAATCTCCAGCTACCAATCTTCGCCGGAAACCGTCGCCGCCGCCACCTCCGCCGCCGGCCGCCGCCAAAAATTTGTCCGATCAGAAAAATTTTCACACTATCGCGAAGATCTCCTCTTGCTTGTTCTACCCTTAAAATTTTGAGCAAAAATTCCTACCGAAAGGCCATCAATTTGCTGGTCAAAGTTCGTAGATCTAAGAACAATTTGGTCAAAATAAAGCCATTTTCTCCATTTTCCCGTCAATTTCTGACGAATCACTTCGAATCGAGGATACCATTGAATTATCCTGGCCAGGGCGAATCCTCGGATGGTCTTATTCGCCGGCGCCGGTGATATCTTTCCGACCAGCAATTTTCCGGTCGCATCCTCGCAGCTCTGCGACAGAGGAGAATCCCGCAGCTCAGCCACCGGCCTGATGCACAGGTAGCCCACCAACCCTACGCGCGAGGCCCAGCGCATTTCAATAGCCCGCGTCCTTCTTACCTTAATTGCCCAGCGCGCGGCCCATCTAGGACCCCAAGGGAAGGCCCAGTCAAGAGAGCCCAAGACAAAGAGCAGCAACTTCAGCGCACGGGCCGTTCCCAGCCCGCGCGGCCCGACCACCCCTCAGCGCTAAGCCCGCTCATCACACAGAGTCCGGCCCGCCAAGCTCGCGTCCGGCCCGCGCTGGAGCCCAACTTCCAGCCATGAACCCAGCCCGCTCTCCTCTCATTGTTGGCTCGCAGGAGCCCGCGATTGGCCCGCGCTTTTCCAGCACGCCATTAGGTCACTTTCGCGGCCCAATTGCAATTTCCAGCGGCCCAGCTATATGTTTATTGCGGCCCAACGTCCAAGCACGCCCCAGACACCCTTTTGCGGCCCGTTACGCGCCTAACCCCCTCCAACTCAAACCCAAATGGTCCAACAGTACCGACTCGAGCACAAGACCAATTAGGAATCATACAATGCGAACGGGGAAGTAAATTGAGGAAACGTTATCGTGATGGAGATACGATGCTCATTTAAATTATGGTTCGGAGGATTTCTTAAATTGACAAAAATTGGATAAATTATTGGAAAATTTGGAGGCTTGAGGATTTAAATTGGTAAAAATTAATAGATTATTCAATTGGTCGTGGTAATATTTGGTTTATTCGTGGAAGATTACTTGATTTAGGTTGGATTATATGGTTTATTCGGTGATTTATTTGATTCGCTCATAGATATATATGATTTGTGCGTGGTAATATTTGATTTGATCGTGGGATTATTCGATTGGCCGTAGTGATATTTGATTTGTTCGTCATTGGATTATATGGTTTTTCTGGGGATTTATTTGATTCGGTCGAGGAGATACTATTTGGTTTATTCATGGAAAATTATTTGATTCGTTTGTGGATAATATTTAATTTATTCGAGGAGATATTATTTGGTATATTCGTGGACAACTATGTGATTTGATCATAGCTATTTGATTTGGTCGAGGAGATTGATTTATTCATGGATATTATTTGATTTGTTCTATTCGTGGAGGATTATTTGGTTTATTTGTGGAGATATTTGATTTATCCGGAAAGATATTATTTGGTTTACTTGCGGAGGATTATTTGATTGGATTGTGAAATTATTTGGATACTTGCTCGAGGACACGGATGATATTTATATAATTGGATATCTTCATACACTTGGACCCTTTATTTAAATTTTCATGTGAAAGCGTGAAATTTTGTTTGAATTGATTGTTCATAATTTTGGTGCGTTTAAGCATGTCATTGCTCGAGCATGTCTTAAATCGAGGAAATGGTAATGTTGGTATTATATATATTGTTTTTCTTGCGTGAGGAATTGCAAAATGGGTGATGTGGATACAATGTTGATAATGATCTCTTTTAATTCTAGTCACCTTTGTTTTAATCGGGGTTTATGTGATTTCATATCGTGGTAAAGAGGCTTGTTTGTAGATTGGGGTGTGGAACAAAAACGCGTGGATCAATTTGATTACTTTGATTTATTCATTTCTTGTTATTATTGCTTATTGGAATTACAAATTGAAGAATGTGGATAAAATACGACTAATTGTATTTTTTGAATTCTTGCTGAGGAAAATACACAAACATGTGGATTGGATATTGGTCATGGTGAGGAGTGGAAAGCAAGGTGTAAGCGGCAACGCAGGTCGTCATGTACAACCAAGAAAGAGAGGTCGAGAAATACATTTGATATTGTTTATTATTATCTTGTTCGACGTGATTATACATTTGAAGACACTAACGGAAATGATCGATTTCTATCCTATCTTGTTGTATTTGGTGTTTCTCCCTTTGACCTCAGTGGCAGGTCATCCGAGTGAAGAAAAAAGCCCTTAGTTTTTGAAACATCCCGTTCAAGGGGTTGGCGAAGGTCGTTTGCTTTCGGTACATTCCTTGGGGTAGGCAGGTGGTCACAGAAGTCTACGCCTCCAGGCTAGACGACCACCATGTTTTCGGAACATCCCATGGGGTGGGAAAGTGTCAAGACCAAAGCCCTTCGTTTTTGGAACATCCCGTTCAAGGGGTGGGCGAAGGTCGCTTGCTTTCGGTACATTCCTTGTGGTGGGCAGGTGGTCACAAAAGTCTACGCCTCCGGGCTGGACGACCACCATGTTTTTGGAACATCCCATGGAATGGGCAAGTGTCAAGACCGAAGCCCTTCGTTTTAGGAACACCCTGCACAAGGGGTGGGCGAAGGTCACTTGCTTTCGGTACATTCCTTGGGTTGGGCAGGTGGTCACAAAAGTCTACGCCTCTGGGCTGGACGACCACCATGTTTTCGGAACATCCCATGGGGTGGGCAAGTGTCAAGACCAATGCCCTTCATTTTTGGAACACCCCGCTCAAGGGGTGGGCGAAGGTCGCTTGCTCTCGGTACATTCCTTGGGGTGGGCAGGTGGTCACAAAATTCTACGCCCTCGGGCAGGACGACCACCATATTTTCGGAACATCCGATGGGGTGGGCAAGTGTCAAGAAAAAAGTCCCTCGTTTATGGAACATCCCTGATCCCACGATAGGGGTGGGCGAGTGGTCGCTCGTTTTCGGAACACCCCGCTCAAGGGGTGGGCGAGTGTCAAGACCAAATCCACTTGTTTTTGGAACACCCCGCCCAAGGGGTGGGCGAGTGGTCGATCCTAGTGTTGGATCGTGAAGACATGGATCCTATTGGAGACCTCGGAGGCATGTCGATGATTTTTGCTTGGTTATATTTGGTTTGATATTATTATATATTGGTCCCTAACCCCAGTGGCAGGTCGATCAAGTTCATTACGGATAGCTCGAGCAGGTTAATGGTTTTATTGGATTTGGTTTTGTGGTATTCTGTTTTTAACCCCAATGGTAGGTCGATGGAGTTCATTACGGATAGCTCGAGCAGGTTAATGGTTTTATTGGATTTGGTTTTGTGGTATTTTGCTTTTTAACCCCAATGGCATGTCGATGGAGTTCACTACGGATAACTCGAGCAGGTTAATGATTTTATAAGATTTGGTTTTGTGGTATTGTGCTTTTGATCCCAATGGCAGGTCGATGAAGTTTACTATGGATAACTCGAGCAGGGTTAGGGTTTTATTTGTCTTGGTTATGTTGTATTGATGCTTTTGATCCCAGAGGCAGGTCGATAGAGTTTGTTATGGATAGCTCGAGCATGTTGATGGTTTTAGTTGGTTTAATTCTGTGTGTTTGTGATTTTGATCAGTCTATTATGGATAGTTCGAGATGGTTGATGGTTTTATCTGGTTTGGTTCTGCTATATTTGTGTTGTCGATCTCGGTGACAGGTCAAGGAACTTTATCTGATTTTGGGTATGTCGAA